TTCGGGGTCTAGGGGTTTAGGGTTTTAGGGGCTTATGGTTTCGGGTTCAGGCTTAACGGTTTTCTGTTGCTGCCTGCCACCTTCCCCGGCCGACGTCACAAGCCCGCATGCAAAAAAGGCTTAACGGTTAAGGGTTCAGGGTTATATAGGGCTTAGGATGCAGGGTACAGGGTTGTTTGGGGCTTCGGGCTTGGGCACTTAAAGAGTGCACCTCCCGAGCTGCAAAGTCTTAAGCCCCAAAACCGAAGCTCACCCCCAACACTTCATATGGCAAGAGTTCCGGGCACCAAGCTCGCACTCCTTGCGGCCGAGACATCGCGGTTCAAGCACAGGTGGTTTTGCAAGGTTCTGGGGATGGCTGGAGGTTTCATCTTGGTGAGCTGTCTTACGCCAGGTTCGGGAGCCAGAGACCCCGCAACTAAACAGGAGTCTGTGATATCGGAAACAGATTTCCGCCGTAGTGGAATCCTGCTTCTAGAGTTACCATCGAGCATTCTCCACCCCACATTGCCATCATTCTGTTAACCCCTCCTACTCCCGAACAGGATCCCAAAAAGAAGAACACCCAAAAAACCCCCAACAACTTGTGCATGCGCAGCCATTTTCGCTTACTCAAACGACCGCAAGGTCTCAACCCCGACCTTGCCCTCCATGTTCCATTCCGTGCTGCTTACCTCAGCCTGGCTGCTTCTGGCCCAAGGGCAGACTTGCGAGGAGCTTCGCCCTGAGGGTTTGAGGGGTTAAACGTAGTGGTAGAGTAGTAGGTAAGCTTTCGGCATGTTAGAATCCCTATTTAATTCCGGTTAACAGTAGGTAAATAGAGGCTACAAAGCCAGTGCGCTCAGTAGGTATTCCAGGGCATGATCTATAGAGGTTAGATACTCGGGAGGTGAAGCCCGAACGACCGAAGGTTCTTATGCACTTTAGACTCTTGTCTTTTAACCGTAAACCGCCTTAATTAACCCAAAACCCCCAAATCCGAAACCCTAGATTGTAAATCATACAGCTGAGCGCGCTCTACACATGTATCAGCAATCCGGACATCTGCACCGTGGCATCGTGGTCCAATCGTCCAAGCCAGCTAGCTCTGTCTTGGCGGTTTTTTGGGGGTTTTGGGCGTTTATGGCTTGTGAGGACTTTGCGCACAGGCCTCCAGGCATAAGAACCAAGACGGTGATGTGCCAGGCGCCTTGAAAACCCCCAAACCCAAATCCCTCCTCTCACCCACGCGAAGAGAATCAAGAAACCGGCGGCAACGACAAATTAAATTAAACCGGAGATATACATATGTGTGTATAATATTATATATCTGTATGTATATCAGATACTATACGCTCTACATACACATGTATTCATGTATTTGTATAATTATAGATAATTGTTGATGGAGATGATCCTCTCTCATTATGCTTTTATGATCATCTGGGCTATAGAGCCATCAAGGACAGCCAGGATGTCAGTTTCCTGCAGCATGCCTTGAAGATCGGAGACCTCGGTGCTGAAGTCGCGACCTCAGCCGCGACCTCGCCGAAGATTGCAACCCACTCGCTCTTCGTGAAGTTTCACAAGGCCCAAAGGGGTTCAAGAGGCATAGGGGTCGTATAAGGATTGTCCAAGGGTTGCCATACGTAGGCTTCGATCGGGGGGAGGGGGTCAGGGTTTTAGGATGTTTTGGGGGATTTGGGGTTTAGCGCTTTATTAAGGGTCTGGTCGGGGATGTATTGTGATCACTGCAATACAGATACTTAATAAAATAGATGGAGCAGACCACTGCACGAACGGTGAAGCGTAAGAAAGAAGATGATTCGATACAGAACCCTGTGTGTGGTCTTAGGTTCTTTATTAAAACTATCCAGTACCAAAACGGGAGCCCCCTTTACTCCTAGGTCACTGGGGATCCTAGTAATAGTATAGCTTATCCCCAGGGCTTCAGAGCTACTCTAGACTGAAGCCAACGATCATGGTGGACACGCCTACGTACAGAAGCAAACGCATTGCATGTACATGCATGCTTTAGAGATGCCTGCATGCATCTTTCGCTTTGCCTCTCAGAGTTCAAGTCGTTGATTGCTTCGGCCGGGATTGGAGCCGAACAGAACTGTGGCCGGCAAAATTTGGGAGTTTCCGAAATTAGGGGTACCTTATTCTGGGGTCCTTAAAATGAAGATCCCACTATTTAGGGTACTATATTCGGGTCCCCTGTTTTCGGAAATCCCCAGGTACCAAACCACCAACCCAAAGTCTCTAGGATCAAATCCTGTGAGTCGAGGACCTTACTGTGCAGGGCCTGTTTCTGTACCTTAACCTACCAAAACCTACTTCTTTGCAGGGTCCCTATAGATTCCATATTAGGGGTTATAATAAGAACCCACACAAAAGTAGGTTTTGGTAGGTTAAGGTACTCTGCGGCTTAGGGAAGGCGAAACCCGCACACTGAAAACAGAGCTGCTATCCCTTTACACCCTCCGTGCAACGGAGCTAGCCTCACAAAGCATCTTCGAAACTCACTTCTTTCAAGGTGTGGGCTGTAAACCCGAGCTTTTGCTAATTTGAAGACCTGAGTAGTTACTAACCTAAATTTTCGGGCTCCTTATTATGATTACAGCATAATTCTATCCCCCCAAACCCTATGCTTCTTGTATATTAAGGCTCCTATATGGGACTTTACGAAAATTAGGGTACCTTATAATGAGGATCCTACTATTTAGGGTACTATATTAGGGCCCCACATTTTCGGAAACCCCCATATTGCCCACAGCTCCCTGAAGAGCATGAGCCGTGGCACTGCAGGTCGCGGGCTGCCCGGTGACTTCTAATACGATTCTGCGATGTTCGCTCCAGGTTTGATTCCGAACTCAGGGTTATAGGGTTTAGGGTTAAGAGTTTAGAGTTTAGGGTTTAGGGTTAAGGTATTGTGATGATGGTAGTGACCTGGTAGTGAGCAAGTATGAATTGAAAATCATAAAGTACTTAGGGCTGGCGGCTGCGTTAACACTGGTCGGCATCCTCGACACCCAGACCGCACAGACCGGAGGAGAGTAGTAAGTGGAGGGTCGGAACAACTGGTAGGGGGAATTCTCTTATATATGGTCCCTCTATAATGATACGATAATATTCTACCGACACCGAATTTCGAGTATTTAGGTCGCCTAAACTCCCTCATAACCTCATGCTCCACGATCCTGGCCGAACACCCTTCAACTTCACCACCTGGACCTTCGAACTCCTCAACCCTGCATCCCAAACACAAAGCAGTAATCCTCGAAGCCCCCTTGCAGAACCTTTGTAGAAAACCCTTATTGGACCCCCTAGACTCTAAACAGAAAGCCCTGAACCCTAAACTCCTGAACCCTCAACCGTGCATGAAGGTCTTGAACTCGCTTTGTTTCACTTCCCAGCAGACCTCGAACCACATGCCTCGCCTGGATTGTCCGAGTGTGAGGGCTGAAACCGTCAATCTCAGGCTCAACCTGGAGAGGGTTCGTGGACGAGATGACGGGGGATCCTCGGGTTCAAGTCTGTGTGTTTGGGATGTGGGGCGGTTGTTTAGAGTTCAGAGTTCAGAGGCCCGAGTTCAGAGTGTAGAGCTTAGAGTGCAGGGTTTAGAGTTCACCGTATAGGGTTTTCCTATAGTCTCCATTGTAGTTCCTTTTTTTGGTTTTCTAACTTCGTATTGTAGGATCCTAACCATGAAATTGGTGAACCCAAAAAGGACTTGCAATAGAGATTATAGGTAGTGACTACCTATAATCTCCATTACAGTTCCTTTACAGTTCCTTTTTTGGCTAACCAATTTTAAGGTTAGGATCCCATAATATCAAGCAGGTAGTGTTCAGGGTGCTGAAGCTCTCGGCCTGGTTTAACGGGAGCAAGCAGTGGCACGCACACGCACACACACACACACAAACACATATGGGTAGCTCTCTAAATGACGAAGAAGTGTTGATTTCCCTCGGTGTGACGAGCCAAAAGACGATGTATATTATGATTCAAATGAAGAGGAAAATGAAGAACACACAAAGATTTCGCCAGGAAATCTTCCTTATCTCCTCGTTTTCGGCACCCCCACCTGACCCTCCAGAAATCTGACTTTCCGCTCCCCACCCACGCCCGCCCGCCCAGCCCCCGGCCTGGGAAGGGGAGGGGAGTAAAGGGTTTGTTGGGAAGTGCCCTAAACCCTAAACCCTGGTTACACATATAAGCTTTGGCTGCAATGACGAGAGAGACTCCTGGCGTCCTTTTGTTGTATTTGGGGGTAGGGACTGCGTTGCCATAGGATGGAATGGGTTCCAACTGCATGGGTGCATGAAAGGAGTCATACTGGACTGCAGGAAGACCAAACAACGATAACCAACAAAACACATCAGGAAATGATGAGCGAAACGATGATTGAACGAGGGGTGAAGAGGGGAATGATAAGAAAACCACGCCGGAAATGATGAACAAACTGTTGATTGAATCAGGGGTGAAGAGAGGAATGATGAAACAACGACGCCGGAGATGATGAGCAACCTGATGACTGAATCAGGAGCGCAGGAAAGGAATTATAAAGAACCAAAGCCGGAAATGATAAGCAATATGATGGAATCAAGAACGAACCCAAGAATGAATACAACCGCGGAAGACAGAATGACGATGCCATGGAGAAATAGATATTCAATGATTCACGATCTGTGCATGCCTGAGGCTCTCATAAGTCTATGCAGGATTGAAAAAAATAGGGCCAATCTGTCCTGTACCATTGTAGTTCCTCGCAGGATATTTATACGAGGGGTCGGGGCTTTAGCACCCGAGCCTTCAGGCAACCTCGAAACATCCCTAAACCTTAAATCCTGGTCTTAGCATTGAATTGAAGAGAAGTCGTTTCGGAAGGCTTGAGGCTTACCAGGACGTTGCAAGTCAACGCCATTTTTCTTCACGGGGCGTACACGAACCCCTAAAAAATCCCAAAAGTCTAAGCAAGACCTGCAGCATTCCAAGTCCTGCATCCCAAGGTCGGGCCCTCAACTTCCAAACGCCAATTGGGTAGGTCTCTAGATTTCGGCCCCTTTTTCGGTCCCCAAGATGACACGGCACCCTTATACAAAGGGACCCTAAAGGGGACCCCAATGTAGAGAACTCTCCAATTCATGTCTTAGACGCACCACTCATAATATAGAACTACCCATAGGCCCCTAAGTAGTTCCTTTTTGGGATTACCTTATGGGATTCTAAATATAAACCATAAAAAGGAACTACTTAGGGGCCTATGGGTGAGCCCAGGAGACGAAGGCCTGCTCTGGGAACTGTGGAAACACGAAGTGGATCTGCGACCAGCAGTTGTTACCTGGCCGTGATGGGGCAAGGGTTTGGTTTAGGGTTCAGGGGCTCAGTTTAAATAAACGGTTTCAGGGTTAGCTTCTGAGACCCTTGCATGTAGCCGCAGAGCCTCCTATATTAGAGACTATCTCATTGAACCCTCTCAACTCAGAACTCCTCAGCCGCGCAGGTTGGAGTTCCGACTTGCCAGTCCGCGGAGATATTCCTAAATATGGAAGTAGAAGGCACTTCCATTTGTCGTAAGTAAGGCCCGTTACAGTCCCTACACCTTATACCGTTATACCACAACATGCACCACCCAAAGACCCCATTCTAACATTGCGGCACGCACAATACGAAACCTGCATGAAAAAACACATGGCCGCTGTTAGACCATGGCGACTTTTTAAGACTTCGTTCCAATTAGGTGTCGATGAATTACAATACGGTATTCTAGGTCGAAGCTCAAACCCTAAGCCCTAAATCCCCAAGCCCTAAAGCCCCTATGGACATCCTCAGACCCCAGCAGCCCTTGTGGCCACTAAGGTCGGAGTCAGAGCCCAAACTCCGAGAGTGGTGCTATCAAACAAAAGTCTCGTGGCTCAACACCTGCGACCGACCTATGCACACCTGCGCCTCGGCCATGCGTTCCTGGATGAGGCACATGTTTATGGTGTTGCAGTCTTTTTGTTTAAGATGGTGTTGATCATCATGGTTTGTTGAAAGGCTCCTAGAAGGTCCTAAGACTGTTCTTACAGGGTTTTACAGGGGTCCACATATGGGATGCTTAGTAATTGGGGTCTCAGGATTCGGCTTTTTGCGATCTCTTTGTGCCTGTTATAGTGCTCGTAGTGTATACCCGCATACCTTACTGTGCTGTTGAGAGGGTCCCTGCGATATTTGCCACCTCCGTAGTTCGAAGCCCTACATTCCACGCCCTGTGTCGTTTTGCTTCCAGGCACCTTCCACCAAAGCTTGGAGGTCATCCGTGAGGCTGCTTCTGAAAACATCAGATCAGTGGTTTAGGAGGCTCTACAACCCGAACCCCAAGCCCTAAACCGTAAAACCCTAATAAACCCTATGCCTAAAACCCTAAACTTTTAAACACCAATCTCTACAGGATGTATGGTTTTGACGGTCTTGGTGCCGTCTCGGGTTCAGCGACCGGCACCCGAATTGTTGTTGCTCTGTGTTACTACGAGTAGTCTCATAACTACAATTATTACTAACATTGCTTCTGTTATCATTTGTTGTGTTCATATGTTACGTTTACTTTCTCTACTTTAAACTGTTATGAGCGTTTGCCTTATTACTGTCCCTTTTTTCTTCTATTATCATCATCGTTATTATTGTTGGGAGGTCTCGGGACTGGAAGTCAACAGCTTCAGTCTGTCAGGCTTTCGTGTTGATGGTTCCGGGGGCCCTTAGGGTCTGAATCCTAACTGGGACCCTGGAAAAAGCCTACTTGTTGAAGGATTTGTAGATAGGGAATCACAAGAAGGAATTCGGAAAAAGCAGGTAACTTTCGGGCGGCGCTTTTCACAAGCAGGGAACCCCAACGAACTCGGGCCAAGGTCTATTCTGTTTGGTCTAGGGTGTACCTTAAGCTACCATAACCGACTTCTCGCAGGTCCGTATTATCATCCCAACTGTTGAATGTATAGGGCCGTATAGGGGCCCTACACACATAGGTTCTGGTAGTTCAAGATGATTTTTGGTTGTCGGATTTTCTGCGGCATTAGTACAGATCCTTTAAGAACCGGCCAATGCAGTATCGCCCCTTCGCCTGAGTTTCATGAACCGACCCATGCTCTCGTCCAGAAATGGGAGCCTTTGCGAAACCTTGAGCGCCTGAGTGTTAGAGTGGTTTGTTTGTGTTTTTCTGTTTCTTTTGTTGTTGTTGGGAGGGGCCGTGGAATACTGAAATATACCCCCAAGTCCTATTCTAGCCACTATTAAGGCCCCTGAACTAAGCCTGAAAACCCTTATAACACCTGTTGAAACCACAAGCCAGAAAATCCTTGCAAAGCTCCATTGACAAAACCGACGGAACCTATCGGCTGCCCTATGGTAGCTTCTCCTGGATCAGGCGGTATCGGGCAAGACCCTGACCCTTGCCAATTCCTCGGATCTTGCGGCTGTATCGAGACACGGCCCTCTTCTGGGTTCTCCTTGTGAGTTTTTTCGCGTGCATTACAGTCCAAACCCGAAGGGGTTCAGATCAGAAACCTACTTCGGGCCCAACGGACTTATAGTGCATGGCTTTGGAGCATTTTTATAGGGCTCAGGGTTTCAGAGGTTGGTTAATTAGAGTATAAGATGGAGGGTTTCGTAGTTTGGGTCTAAATGGCTTGCCTGAAAGTGATTGCTACTGTCCCCGCGTGTCAGGGGGCAGTACTTAACCTAAACCCAAAGCCTTAAATCCCAACCGGCTCAACATCTTGTGAACCTCGCTGTGAAGCAGGAGGGGGGGGGGCAGTGTTAATGTGAGGGAGGGCTAATTGTCTTTCCACCGGGGCCAACGAGCTCGTTGCCACGTAGTGTCAGTGCAGAAACTCAAAGACGCTCACAAAATCCTCCTGTAAACCGCTAAAAGAAACCCCGTTCTAGCCTTCCCGAACCTGCACCAATCCCTGAACTCTAACCCTACCTATAGTCGCCATTGTAGTTCCTTTTTGGGGTTACCTTTTTAGGATCCTTAATATAAAATTGGGTAAACCCAAAAAAGGAACTACAATGGGGACTAGAGGTATGCCCTATAGACCCTCAGCCCCAAACCCTAAACCCTAAACCCAACCCCTAAACCCTAAGGAATCTGTGGCCAGACAAGAAGCGCCTCAACCTTCTCTGGGGCGTGGAGTGGGCGCGGGTTTCACGATTCCCCCAGTGGCACTCTTTTGTGTTTTTTTTTCTGAAGTTTAGGGTTTGTTTTCTGAAAAGCATGCAAAAACAGGAAGAAAGGCTTGGAGTTTAGATTTGAGGGGGTTTCCTTGTTAAACATGAAAAGACCCGGGAAAACAGGACGCCCTTATGATGCAGGGCACGCTGGGGAACCTAGGTATGGCTGCCCGGGAACTTCCAAAACAAGCGCATTTTGGTGACCACGCTTCTCCGAGAGCCGAAGGAGCGCAGAAGCTTTTCGGGGTTTAGATTTTTCCTGGACCCCAAAAGTATGTAGAATAATAGCCTTTTATGGGTTTTGGGTCATTATTTTACCTACCTTTGGGGGTTTAGGTAGGGGTTAGGGGTTTAGGGTTCAGGGCAAAAGGGTTCTTCTGATTCTCAGAGAGCCGCAGAAGGGCTCCTGCAAGGGCTCTTTCAAGGTTTCTGCATGGGCGATTGGAGGGTTCTAGAAGCCTCAGAGGCTCACGTTCCCTTCAGGTTTACTGTAACTGGATCTTTGTATCTATACCTTTATTGTACACGTACGTGTTCTTGGTAAATTTCTCTGAGGTAAAGTTTTTTGGGCGACGACGCTTCTCCCAGAGCCGTAGAGAATGATTGTAACGAGGCCTTGGACTGAATGCTTCAGGGGTTCAGCTCTAATGGGAACGCTTGATGATTAGGGTTTAGGGTTTAGGGCGCAAGGTAGGTCGGCCCGGTGCCCCAGATCGGCTTTCCCAAATAGCAAAAAAAAGAAAACCAAAAATCCAAGCAAAATCCCAAACCCACGCCAAGCCTGAAGACTAAAATTCAATTGGTTGGCTCTGTGTCCAGCCCAAGTGGACCGACCGGACTCAGGGGCGAGCTGGTTACACAGATGCATGGAACTTTGGGTGGTGTCCTGCCAGCTGGAGACGATCAAGGTGACGAGGGAGGGCTTGCAGAGTCGGGGGCGAACGATCGAAAACGCAAACACGATGGAGAACATGGGTGGCCATCAAAATGAAGGGCGATAAATGAGTGGAGTTGTGGACAGAAGCTGTCCGGACGGCCTGCCCTATGGGGCTCTCTCACTACTTCGGCAGTCGGAAAGAGGTGTCCAAAAAAAATCAACTGGGGAGGATTCATGGGATGCGGGTTGCCATTCGGACCTCGCGGGATGCCTTTGTTTTTTGTGGCGGGTTTTGTCAAAGGTCTGGGCAGGCAGGATGAGAAGGATTCTCGAAGCAAATTTACAGGCCTGAGTAGTAGCTACCAGTGATACACTTTTGCTTAGGACTCCTTATTGCATTGATACTACGACTACGATATGCTGTACCTGCCCAAGCTCTACTAAATCGATTAAGGCAGCTAGCTGTTTTGGCCGATGCCACCAACGCCTTACAGCATAAATCCTAAACCCTGAAAAGCTCCGGCCTGACTTTCTGAAACCCGAGAAAGTCCCGAGACTCCAAACCACATCCCCTGAAGCTTCAACCCGTAGGGCCATAGAAGCTTATGCCGAAGCACCCAACCTCCGGAGAGGAGCGCATCCGATCTTTCTATTACTTCAAGAACGGTGCGCCCACCCGTGAAGGAGACTCGGATTCGTGTGCAGAGGTTTTGAGCTTTTCGTTAGTGCCTTTGGGACTTTGGGAGTGTGCACTAGCTACACCAGCCAAGCACTTACAAATCGACATACCCGCACACACACACACACACGGAGACTGTGACAGACACCCTCGCACTCGTGGGTACATTCCGAGTCCAAACAAAGTTTCAAAGCCGGAGTTTCAAACCTGCAAGTCCCAAGCTACCAGGCCGCCATACATGAACCTTGTCCAAGTCCATTTGTCTTCAGCCCTTTCGGTTACAGCCCGTTGGGGGGGTTCTTTTCTAAGTTGCCGGCAGTAGTTCAAAGAACCTTGTGAGAAGCCGACCTCAGCATGGAGGGTGTATATGGTCCTATACTGGGTTCTTGCTAGGGCATTTAATTTAAGTTACCATGATAAAGAAACCGTATTATTTACTATAGATCCCCATTATGGTAACTTAAATAAAATCCCTTAACAAGAACCCAGTATACTTTGGATTCCTTGTCAACTCCAGGTGGCCTTTGACATGTGAAAGCTTGAACTTCCCGAAGTTTCCAGGGCTTTCGATCGCGATCCCTGCTTTTCCGGTGCTTTTTTGTACCGGAGACCTTATGCATGGCTGCAAGCAAGGCGGCTGTAGCGTTAAGTAGTTGGGGTCTTGGGTCAAAGATAGAGTATCTCTGAAAACCTGCACATGACTCTTGGACATACGTTCCACAGGCTGGGCAGTGGTTCGCCCTTCTGGTGTAATACTTTGCTCGAGAAAAAAACCAATCCCAAGCTCTACAAACCCACAAGTCTAGACTCTAGCCTTAATCTCGAAACAAACCCAAACCCTCTCGGTAAACTTTGCAGACTAAGTACTATCTAAGCCGTATCCTTACACTGTAAAAGTCGAAACCTGGTATAACTTAAACCTCACAGACACTACCGCATAGGCTGCAATGAGCCTTGTGCCACTAAGTGCTGATTGAACCCTCCTTTTTGGCCTTTAAACGAGCCATGAATACAAACCTAAACCCCTAAAAGGATCCCTCAAAAGAGCCCTCAAACCTGCCCTTAAAGCCCGAGGTTTCAAGGCCTTCCTCGAGTTCCGACGTGACTTCGTGCTTGGGAACATGACGCAGGAGCGGTACGAAGCAGAAAAGGGACATCAGGACCGAGGTGCCCTGTGAAGTCGGGGGGGATTCTGGGGAGTACTTTTGGGGTGGCTTTGGGAACAGGGACCGATCGAGGGTAGAATGATAATGATACTAACCATAATGGTACTGATAATGACAATAATGATAATAATCATAAGAATTTAATAGTAGTAGTAATAATAATAGTAACAAGAATAATAAATAACAATAACAATGAGATCAATAATACTGATATTACTTATGGTTTTCGGAGTTTAGTTTTCGGGCCTCAGTTCGAGGGTGCTTGAAAGAAAGCCTTTGGCCGTTCGCAAAGCAGGAGTGTTCACCCTCAGCCTGAACTTCAACTGGCAGAATTGAAGTTCCGGAGGATTTTTCGTGTTTAGTGACCATCGAGATTCTCGCGGAGTTGAGTGCGCCTACGAGATGAATGTTAGGCATGACCCCGCCGAACTCCAAATCTGGATCTCATTTCATCCAGAACAGGATTGCATGGAATCCTAAACCCAAGCCCTGAACCAAAAATCCCTGAACCGAATCCTGCGCAGCCTTCACGACGATGAGTCTCCTTCTTCGGTCCTGCTGCGAGTATGAGACGTGGCTAGGAGATGGATCGGTCTCCTGGCACCTTTCGTGTTTTGCGATTTAGGGCTTCCTGTAACGGATTTTCTTGGGATGCCTGCGACCTCAATTCTCGCACAAAGCCGTAAACTCCCTCAACCCTAAACTAAACCATTTATCACAGGGCTGATTTCACTTAGGGACCCCTGTGGAGGGGAGCCCAGTGGGTTGCAGTTTGCCAATGGGGCCCAATGGTCTAGTGGGGCTAAAGGGTCCCCTCCACAGGGGTCCCCTATCAACCCCGTGAATCTAGACCCTAAGGTAAATCCTCGAATTCAAACCCTAAGCCCTGAAGCTAGTCTCTCGGAAAGATGATGCCAAAAATGGGAATCGCCCTACTCTCTATTTACTGTAATTCTAGTTTCTTTCAACCCAGTTCGTGGCCAGGAGTCCAAACTGCACGAAGAAAACATGGTCACCACCTACTATAACTGCACTGTAGCTAGACCCATGAATCCTCACCCGGCCATTCGGAACCACCACTCTTGACCAATTTCTTCTGAGTCATATACTGCAAACGGTAGGCTCCATACTACATGGGTCGGAATCATTGCCCCAACTATTGCTTTGAGTTCTATTTCTATAAGTATGACCTAGTGTACGCCGCAACCTTCCTCTTCTTCTTATTACCATCAAGGCCACTATATCACAGCGAATTCTCTCAGGTGGCAAAAGCCAAGCTCGTACTTTCCACGCAGTTCGACCTGGTTGGCAGCTTCGCCTGCTTATAGCGGTTAGGGCTGTGAATTTGGGGGAGATCGTAGGGGGTTTGGCGTTCCAGTACAATCAAACGCATCCTACTGCTTTCTGGCCCGTGCTTGGGTTCAGGGCAAGTACTTCGATAGAGACAGCAAGCTTCGTCCTCAAGGTTGCCGCGTGCCAAAACCGAAACCCTGGGCGCCGGAGGTGTGTCCCGTTGGGAGAGATGCGAAGCAGTCGTTTGTTCCATGACGTGTCCACGTGGCAGCCGCAAAGTCCCCCAAAACCCGCATACGTCAAACAAACAAAAGCCTCTATAAAATCCCTAAAGGAACCGAACACCACTATTTGCAAGCCCAGGCATCACCGAACGGATGAACGATGCTCTGGTGAGCCTGGGTCGTTTGTATGGTCTCTCTGCAGAAGAGACCGCGAGGATCGGACTAAAAGCTCCTTTCCCAGTTTCAGACGCGGATTACCTACCCTTCGAGGAGATAAACTCTACAGTTGAGTGGTCATAAAGTAGTCCTAACTTCACCTACTATTTCCAAGGGTTTGACAGGTGTGCGGCTCACGACGGAAAACCTGTAGAGGCCTTCTTGCGACCCTTGTGGGGCTTTTGTCTCTCAGGGGCTAGTGTATGTCGCAGCAATCATTGAATCAGTGTTATGGGGTCCATGGTAGCATACTCAAACGACAACTGTAAGGGAGTAGTGTTTTCCGGCCCCTACACGAGGGCTTACGGAAATATTTTGCGACTGAGCATTGTTCGGCCCTCTGCGACCGAACGTCTAAGCCACAGGAATATTGAAAGCCAATCCTAAAACCTAATTTTTTTGAACAATGAACCACTACGCATACAGACCAAAAACTGAACGCCAAACCCTAGTTCAATGTTCGTTTGGGCACCCTATGAGTGTAGGCTAAACGACACCATGGCTCGACTTAAAAGCCATCCCTTACGCTTTGCTAGACATCGCTGTGAAGGTGACCTTGGTGCTATCGGCAATAGTTCTTGATGCATGTGATTTCCTCGTTCGACACTGTACAATAAGCCCCTAAATAGCCTAAGCCTTAACCCATAAACCCCAACCGAAACCTTTAATCTGCACTAGGCTGATCAAGATAAGCTCGACAACTCTGAGAACAAGCTGGACTGGACCGACGAGGAACTCAGTCTCACCACTCTCGTGGCGGAGAAGGGCATCTCGTACAGCCATAAAACAGGGGCCGGAGCAATTTGCAATAGTATCCCCGTGTAGTCTTCATCCGTAGATAGTATAGTATACCCCGCCCCAAACCCTATGTTAATTACTGTCAGGTTCAGGGTCTATAGGTCCTAGTAGAGGATTATGTAGTGTTTCTTCAGCATGTGCGGCTCACTTTCAGGGTTTAGGGTCTATTGTCTGTTGTCTTAAGAGGCTTACGATGTATGCATTGCCATTCAAAGCAAACACCAAACCTTCAGCCCAAGGAACGCAGATTTACGATTTCGGTCAGGAGCTCTTCGAACGGCAGTCTGTGAGTCTCTTTGGGACCTATGAGAATTTGCGCGCGGCAGTTGAGACCTTTGAGAAGATGGATCCAGAGAGCCTGGAGTGAGACAGGAGAGCAAGTTCAAGGAGACAAAAGCGATTGTAGTTCTGCTTCTGTCCGAAATATCCTCCATCACGACCGGCATGACCATCAGCATCATCCTTCTCACCATGAGCGCCGCAATGATAGTAGGAAGACTCCTCATGACGACGACCGTTTGTGCTATCTCAGAGGGCGGTACGAGCCCACATTGAGATTGCGAACTGCACCATGCGCTGGGAAAACAGCCATTTGCAGGGTTCTTATAAGTCTGTGGATAGTATGTAGCAACACGACGTCAGGGTGAGCTGTCAAAAGAAACAATCCGGTTCCTGCATGAGCAATTCACACGTACATGGCAATGTACGCAATTTCATCTTTTAAATTCCTTTTCCCAACAGCAAGAGAACCTTGTTCCGGCTTGGAGCAAACCTGTTTTAGAGTTCTTGGGCTGTCGCATTGTGGAGGCAGCCCGCTGCATGTCGTGTGCTTTCGTGGTAGGACGCAGGCTTATGAGACTTGTTGCCCGCGAGGAACGGACAGCTGCATGTACTATATCACTAGCTATTCGCAAGGAGCCCAACCTAAGCGTTGGTCCCCGTGTACCAGCCCAATACCAAAGTGCGTTCGGAGCAACAAGACCCAACTTTCAGATCTGGCTTTGACGCTAATTAGGCCGGCGCGGAGGATTTCATCCACATGATGGAGAGTGGGAAGCACCCGTCCTTAAAGGACTCCGTCTTCAGATTGGCTTTGTCTGCGCATGCCTACGGTGTTTTACGGGATGCACTAAAAAAGTTGAAACTGAAGCCGCACTGAAACTGATTGAAATGGCGGCTTCTCATCATTCTAGATATGTGTTCGAAGGTATTCTTCCCGCATGCACAGCTTTGTTTGACAGTCGTTAGGGCTCCTAGCGGATCGGTCGACGACGGATATTATATTGGCTTTCGGGCCTCCGAGTCTTCAATTTGGGTTTGGTGCCTTTCTGCAACGTTTTTGGGTTTAGGGATTAGTTCGAGATAGTTTTGCTTACTGATATTGCTTCGACTGTACTAGTGAATCGCGTACGTTCGATCCTTTAGTGGGCAACGAGTGCTGCTGGAGGGTTGACTTGCTGTCTTGTGGAGTTTCCCGGCTGGTTGCGAGAGTCCTGGATGCCAAAGGGTTTAGGATGTAGGGCCTTTAGTAAAGGTACAGTAAGTCAGCTTTCAGAGAAATGTAACTTGGACCCATAGGGAAGCCGTCAACAATCCGAAGCCAACGCCTGTGCCACAGACCCCAGATATTATTCGCAGGAGGTGCGACTCAACAACAACCTCGCCACTGGGACTGGCAGTTTTCTCCTATACCCTCAATTCAATGTTCTAAACCCCAAACCCCAACCAAGGTCGGTTCATCGTTGCGGATACGGCTCACAGCCGTCGCACAAGAGACGCATGGAAGTGACTTCACTCTGCGAGTTTAGAGAGGGGATGCACGCAGGGTTTCTCGACCGGGTTGCAAGCTGCCAGAGCAGGTGGTGCAGAACCCTATCATATCCCATGATTCTTGATACATTCAACCCTATACACCCTAAGCCATGTTTTCTGCAGGTTCCCGTGTCGAGGTTCAGGTCGCTAGGTGCTTTGCCAGTGCTTAACAGAGACGGAATCAAATCGGCGACGATTTCGTCAGCCTCCACAAGAATGTAGGTAGTTCTCTAAAGTAGGGTCCCGTTCTAGGTCCCCGAAATAGTACGGCACCCCTACAAAAAGGACTTAAAAAGGAACCTACCTTAGAGAAGAACCCATATCGTACCCATCTTCGTGCTTGGAAACCCAATGCGGCATCCAGTTTCGGTATGTTTCACGCCTCAGCGTTTCACAGAGGTTGACCACATCTGGTCCAGCGAACGCATGGGCAAAAAGTGTGTCTCCCACAGGAAACCTTGCAGCTTTGATTCGCGTTGATGCTGTCCATATATGAAAATGCCCGAACTTCTCAGTTTGCAAGTGCAAAAAGCCCAAAATATAGGTATTTCGGCTTCGAATAGCAGTGATTGTAGGTTCGAGCTTTGGCGTGTGTATATCATACAGTTGCACAGGTGCGCGGAATCATAAACTGGGCTGTAGCCGGGGATTCGAATCCAGGAGTTCGTACACGATGCACGACAGTGTCGCCTTGTCAAAAGTTGGCCAGCCAGCTTTTTACTAGTCTGCGAAAGCCTCCGTTGCATTCGCGATGCGGGGAGCCAGGAGCTGGTGCTTTAATCATGGTATCGCGGCCTTATTTGTACCGTTCGCGTAGTGGAAACTGGCGGCTGGGATGCTCGGCGTCACAGACCACGCAGGGCATGTGGAATATTCAGAGCCACCTCCAGCAGCGTTTTCCTTGGTCTTCGTTGAACTCGATGTGTCGGTTGTCACAGCTAGTTGCCACTGCCAGAGTTGTTGCCCGTGCATGGAAGCACTCCCGCAGACCTAAACCTTAAAACCCAAACCACGCGAGCCTACCCATAGGCCCCTAAGTAGTTCCTTTTTATGGTTGATATTTAGAATCCTATACGGTAATCCCAAAAAGGAACTACTTAGGGGCCTATGCCTAAACCCCAAGTAGCGGCCAGGCCAGCTGTCGACTCGTCTCGCAGATGGTGAGCAGATCCAATTTTCACAAGAGCCCATGGGTCTCCGGACTACGGGTCCGGGCTTTTGCGCTTGAGACTTATAGGGCTTCAGGCCCTCAAGCCATGGTCTCTAGATCCGAACGTTTGGGCAACCCACGCCGAGCCGAGTCCAGTGCTGCCCCAGGTATCTTCGGAGATGTTAGCATCCATCTTTGTGGCATCTGCCCGAGCCCTTTAGGGTTTCGCTTGATTGTTGACTAAACCTGAATCCAGGTCTAATGCTTCCTAGGCCCTAGGCCCGAATTTCCCAAGCATGAGTCAGCAGCAAAGTCCTTCACCGACGGATCAGCTCACAACACACAGCAGCAGATGCTCGAGTCGAAAAGTTCTGGGTACTTTGCTGGGTTAAGGGTTTAGGGTTTTGCCAAATTTTAGCATCTTTTAATGATAGGTGTTGGTTAGCTTGAGATGCTGCAGCATTTATCTTGACGTTGTCATCAGGCACCCAGAACGCCTTTTCAAACCACCCCAATTCACTGAATACGTAGCTGGCAATGTCTGCTAAACCAGATGAACCTGTAGATGAAAAGTACGGTCGAATTCTCTTTATGGTGTGTCATGCGGCATATTACTCCGCTCGGGAAGCTCAGCACTTGAAATATCAACGCGTGTGCAACCAAGCTGCGGACTTTCGATCATCCGTGCGCAAACATTCCTTCGAGATATATGATTCTTGGGTGAAGGACATGGGGCACGGGCTCACCGAGAGAAAACAGTCGGAAGGCGACATGTCAGACAGGTTTTGACTATAGTGTTTGAGGATCGGGAAGCAGGAATGGATCTATTCTTGCGCACTGTTCTGTTCCAAGCTCATGCAAGCTCAGACAATGTCCATCAAACAAACCTTGCTTTACCTCAGATACAGCGGCAGGGCTCGCAGAAGCTGTAAGCTTCATTTACTTGTTTGCTTCGGGGCGAACACCGTGCCATCATTGTCCCTTGCGTCTTAGTGACTTCTCTGACTGTTGCTTTTCATGAGATGCGGAACGACGAGAGAACACAACATAAGTCCAACACTAGACTCCATGACTTAGCTGTTCCCGTTAAGTTGTCGCAGTGCCGCCAGCTTTGCATCCATGTGTGAATGCCGCAGCTGTTATCCCCCTTTACTGAGCATTGGCGGGGGAACAGGGGAAGAAGCAGGGGCCGCGCGCCTCAGGCCTGGTGCCGACCTTAGACGACTGAGGGCATGCTTTCGGGCGCTGGCTGCCAACACTCGGAACCCCAACGGAAACACGGAGTGCCAGGATACGAATGCATCAAGCTGCATGCAAACTAGAATATTGTGAGTAGCAACCAGCAGAACGGCGAATCTGCTGTGCTATTGTTACCTTGAGTGAAAGCTAGAGTAGTTGGGGAGCCTACTCTATGGCCACTGTCTAAAATTGCCATGCCGCTTGACTAACACAATCGGCAGACTTCCCTTGAACTGTGGAGACCCTAGGCTTCGTCCTTACCCGTATGTTTGCTCTGAACAGTGGCTTCGCATCTAGCTCATCTGCAATAGATCCCTGTGCAGGATCCCGTCTCCTGCCCTTAAAGTGTCAAGGACTAAACCCTAAACCCTCCACCCTGACTACCCCCTCCTGGCGCCATCGTTTCCAGAAGGCCTAAGCCCGAAAAGAGATGGAGCCACGTGATATAGGGGCCTTAATAATTAGAAAAAGGTTTTCGGGTATATTACACTGTAAGTATAATAAGGAACCCCCAAAACCCTATTCTATTCATTGACGCCGCCGACGTTGCCCAATCCTAGACCCGAAGACCCTCGACCTCGTCTTCATGCCATCATGACACCGAAATCTACGAGAGCGAGCACACATGGTGCTGAGGTGTAACCGAGAAAGGGTGTAGAGCTCCCTCGTGAATTCGTGGATGTTCATTCGGACGCCTTGTTAACCGTGGTTCTGAACGCCTAGCGGGCAGGTCGTAGTCTACAGACTTGTAACGGGTAAGCGGATTCAGCGCGTGGAGAAGGGCCGTGCAACAAAAAACGAGTAAAACCGAAACCCTGAACCCCATCGGCCCATAGTCTTACAGCCCTGATCCTAAACCCTAAACCCCAATCCTACACCCTAAATCCACATCCGAAACCCTAACCTAACCCCTTCAAACCCCGAAACCCTAAACCGCCCAGGCTGCCCCGACGATGGCAGAGCTCCAGGTCCGAGGCACCTCGCCCACGCGGGACCTGTGCGCGCCCAGAGTCCGCGATGGGTGCGGGCCCTGGATGTCAGATTTTGGACGAGGGTTTGTATAGGATTTGGGGTTTCGTTGTGAAGGGGTTTTGGTCCAGGGTTCAGGATTTTTTTAGTTGAGCTTAAAGTTTAATTGGAGGCTGCGGGTTTGGCGATTCACGTGA